CCTTTTGTGCTTCCTTATCAATCAAACATGAAAATATCTACATTGCAATGACAAACAGGTAAGGGGAGAGAGGACACCCTTGCCTAAAACCTTTGCAAGCAGGAAAATACCCTACTAATCCCCCATTCAGCCCCACACTTAACATAGGAGTTCTAAAAACACATCCTAATCCAATTTATAAACTGCTCAGGGAACCCCATATGCTTCAAAACTTTAAAAATGAAAAGCCAATCCACAGAATCGAAGGCCTTCACTAAATCCATTTTAAGAGCACAACGAGGAGAGACATTTTTCTGGGCATACTTATGGGCAAGCTCATGTGCAAGCAGAATATTGTCCCCAATCGATCGCCCTTTTATGAATGTAGTCTGATTCAAACTAATTAGATGAGGTAACTGTGCTCTGAGCCTATTTGCAATTATCTTAGCAATGATTTTGTAAATAGTGTTACAGCAGGATATTGGTCTAAAAAATCTCATTTCATCAGGGTTCTAAATCTTAGGTACTAGTGTCAGAATGGTAGCATTCACTTCCCTAGGCATCCTACTTTCAGAAAAACAGGTTTGGATAGCAAGAGTTACCTCTCCCCCTATCACTGGCCAAGCATGTTGGAAAAAAGCTGCAGAATATCCATCCAGACCTGGACTTTTATCTCCATTCATTGCAAACACAACGTCTTTGATCCCCTCCTCTGTAATAGAAGCACAGAGCCCATCATCACTAGAGATTTTCTTCCTTATAAGTTCAGAATAGAACTCATCATATTCCCCAATCACATCAGGGTCTTTCTTGCCCAGTAAACGTTTGTAGAAACCCTCAGCAATATCACCCATTTTATATAAATCTGTAACCTTATTCCTCTCTTCATCCTTCAACATAGTAATCATGTTCCTTCTTTGACTCGTTTTTAGAGATCTATGGGAATAGGGAGTGTTCGAATCACCCCCCCGCCCCCCCCCCCCCCTAAGCCAGAGATCCCTTGACTTATGCCTTAGGAATGACTCCTCCGCTTGAAGCAACTCATGTAACTCCCTAGACACTACAAGAAAAAAGGTGTTTAGTGTCGGTTGGGTCGTGTCGATTAATCTGATATAGAATTTTATTTGATTTCGCTTCCCCAAATTGACCGAGGTGAGAAAGGTAGTCGGCACCTCATCCTTCCTCCTCTCTCGTTTCAATCCCAGCTCTACCTTCCAGTTTCACGGATGTAGAAGAACACTGGCCGTTGGAAGCAAATCAACCACTTTCGCAGTCATTGTAGTCACTAGAAGCTGTGGGTACTTGCAAAAAGAAAGAAAGTTTGGCGGGGATCACTCCGCAAGGGAAGACGATGGTCAGAAGACGATCTACGATACCGATTCGATGGCTGACTGTTGGGGTTGCAAGCTGAGAATAATGGGAAGCGAATCGGCTTCAGATTTTGATGCGGAGGTCGAGAGCCATCCGAAGAAGAAATCAAAGAAGATGGCGACTGGCGGGTCAGGATGGGAGTGAATCAGAACGGTGATGACGGGAAAGTTGTCTGCGTTGCCGACCAAGGCGGGTTCAGGGGAAGGGAAGACGAGGGGTCGGTGGACGGGAAGGATCGTCGGTGGAGCGAGTCGACTCGGCGGTGGGGCAAATAATTTTTTTTTAATTTTTTTTGTGAGATTTGCGTCGGTTATATAAAGTCGGTTAAACCGACATAGACAATGAATCTAATATAAAAAATTGGATTTTTTTCAATAAATAATTAGAGTCGGTTAGAACCGACGCAAAATAAATTTAAGTCGGTTACTCCGGCGGTTGCTTAAAACCGACACGAATTCGATTAGTGTCGACGGGTTTCGCGTCGGTTAAGTGAACCGACACTAAAAAGATTTGTGTCATTTATAACCGACACAAAACATAAGAAATAACCGACACTAATTGACAGTTTTCTTGTAGTGAGGGACTGTCAATTCTCTCTCGAAGTTCTCACTTGAAGGACTAAAGAGAGGTTCACACTGTATTTCTTCAAGCTCAGACTCCTGCCCCTTGACCCTCTCCCTTATTTCGGAGAATTCCTCACGGTTCAACTCCTTCAATAGCTTCTTTAGTATTCTCACCTTCTTGTAAACCTTAATCATTGGTGGTCATGACACCCTGCTCTCCCATGCTTGCTTTAATAACTCATCAAATTTCGGGTGCCTAGTCCAGAACGAAAGAACTTAAATGGTTTTGGAAGTGATTGTTTTGCAACCTCAGTGTCAACCAAACTGGGACGGTGATCTGAAATCCCTGGCTTCTGAAAGTGGACTGAATTCCCCGTTATTTTATCCAACCAGTCAAAATTGACTAATACTCTATCAAGTTTTTTCGCAATAGGGCGAGCATCTTGTTTATTAATCCAAGTAAACCACATACGTGCAGCTTGATGATCTTCAAGTTCTAACTCCAAAATCCAACTTGCAAAATCCTTCATAGTAGTACGGTAGTGAGCAACATTTGAGGCTTCGGCATATTTATACTTTTCATTTGTAAACTATTTTTTATATATTGTTAACACATAAATGTTTTCTTCACATAATATATAAAAATAGGTTGACCTACCCTGATTCTTACCTACGAGAATATTACCTGATCTATCCCACACTTAGTATGAGATGAGCACTACTAGAGAAATTATTTTTAACCATGGGATTGTGATCACCGAATTTTTCCATGACTATTACTAATAATGATCACAAGAAATAAAATGGAAGGTATTTTCTACTGAAAAAGAGTGAAGGTTGTGTACATCAGGTCTCAAGGACGTAACATTTATGTGACTACCACGTTAACAAAAGTTAATGTCAAGTGGACCACCATCTGGTCAATCATATCTATAACGGTAAAAAAATTGACAGGGCATAAATGACACATAATTAGTATATGTTGAGATTTTTTTGGAATATTGAATAGGCCGGAACAAAAATGACATTTTTATAGTGGTATTAACCCTACTTATTAAGGATATTTAAGAAAACTTTACTACTATTTATTTCAATTCCTTTCTTTTCTTACGTTGGTCAATGATTTAATTTAACAAGGGCATTTGATTAAAGTAGTGCATGGCAAAGCTACGATATTTCACCAAAGATCGAAAATATATCATTTTTTGGATTCAATATTTTTTTTTTTAAAATTCCTAATAGGTTTTAGGTCGGAGATTTCATTTCCCTGAATATTCTAACGTAGAACAAAAAATGATGAATAACAAAAATTGATGATTTTTTTTTTGTGAACAAAATTGATGAATAATATTGCACAATTGATAAGTTTTTTTTTCCTTTTTGAATTTGACAATGAGCTCCCGCTGTTTCTTAAGCGGTGTTTGCTTCGATTGACTCAGACAGATCAAGTTATGGCCTTGGTAGCGCTCCTCTGGCGTATTTGGAAATCAAGAAATTAGGCAGCATTTGAGGGCAAGCAATTCTTGGTTTCCCAGCTGATGCACCAATATCATCAGCAGGTACATGAATGGGTGTCGTTGCCTGAGGATAGATTGATCGTGGACCGGGTTGTTTCTCAGCATCACCAGGGTGAGGAGGATAGGGCTCCTCTTGTCTGTATGTGTGATAGTGCGGTCTGCGCTGGCTCTCATTCAGCGGGAGGACTGATTGTTAAGGATAGAGGTGGGACTGTGGTGGCAGCGAAAGGGTTGGTTTTTGAGGGTGTGGTGGACCCCCTGATGGTAGAGACTATTACCTTGCGTGAAGCTCTTAATTGGTGTCGGGGCCTTGGCGTTCCTCAAGTGAGGTTGGAAGGTGATGCAAAGGTACTCATTGACAAAATAAATGCTAAGGATGCGCGGGATAGTCGGGTAGGAGCTATAATCGCGGAGATTTTGAGCCTGCTAGGGGTGAATAGTGGTTTTTATGTTCGGTTCGTTGGTTGGAATAGCAATAGGGTAGCCCATTCAGTGGCTAGAAAGACCCTCTCTTCGTCTCCGGCCTCGTGTCGTTTGTATGATTTTCGTGCCTGGTTTGGATCCAGGGTGTAACTTCTGAGCTTATCAATATATATATATATATATATATATATATATATATATATATATATCCATATATATATATATGATTATCTTAGGTAAAAAAGAAAAGAATTTGACAATGTGCAATTAGTAGAAAATAAGTTAGAATAACATGATGTATGATGATTTCATTTTCTTAATAATCCAAATTTATACCTTGAACAAAAATATGCAGAAAATCTTGCTCGTTTGGATGGAACATTCTCAAAATGAGGCAATTTGGGACGAAAGTATCATTTTAGAAAATGAGTTAATTGTATGAGGAAATGTTTACGTAATTGTCTTGTTTGGCTTGTGATTTGCCACGAGACAATTGTGATGATGCATTTTATGAAAATACATATTTGCCCTCATATTTTTGCCCTTCTCCATCTTGGGAAAAGGAAGAAAGAAAGAAAAAAATAGTAAATAAAGGGGTTAGATTGGGAAAACTGACCCACAAAATGGAGTAATGTAGATTACCTCCCTCCCACCCAAGTAATTGTGATTGACCCATAATGAAGCAATTTCAATTATCTCATGTCCAATTGCCTCATTCCTACTTTTTGCAGCCAAATGGGATAAATTGGCCCAATTGTCTCATTTTGAGTCAATTGGAGCACATTGACTCATCACTTTCATCCATCCAAACGACCCTTTGTTTTGATGCTATTCGAAGTGTTTTTCTTGTCATAAATATATATGGTTTTGCTATGATGACTTGCTAGTCACTGTGAATTATAGAAAATGGTTAACCGTATCGACACATGGTCGATCGCTTCTGCCAAAATATCGAAGAAGATACAAACCAATTAGAAAAGGCCTGATTGATGGTAATGCATCTGATCCTACTCGTGATACATATATAGAAAAATTCAACAGTCCACAATGTCAAGATAGGAAACAACACAATTATTTTCTCATGATTATTATTATTAGAAACTAGCTAGAGTACACAGACTTGCAAGTACAAAAAGATTAAGAAAAGTGAAAAGCCCAATAATTATTTGAAAGGGTAAAGTACATAGAGAGGATTTGTAAATGGAAACTGAAGTAGGTTTGATTATTCATCATCATGTTGACAAAGTGATCGATGAGCTTCTTTTTCATCCCGTTCCACCACCCGATAATTAGCAACAGATTCCGCAGTTAGGCGTTAAAATAGAGCCACAGGTACAACAGTATGTTGAGGGGCAGCTTGCATCATAACTACGGCAGAGGATCCGCACTTTGTCTATCGTCTCTGCGTCGACAGCAAACACCAAGTAATTAGTTAAAGCATAAGATCTGAATAATCAAATAAATCTAAATTATCATCACAACAGAAGATGGAGTCTTTTAATAAGTTCATGTACTAGTATTAATATACATAATATGCCATGATTAAGAAGTGCATAAAAATAGGAATAATTAACTGAAGATGACCTGAGTGGTGGCCAGAGCGGGGGAATGGGATTGCAGCCACCGAGTAAGGCAGGACGACGACCAGCGCAATCATGAGTAGGACAACGCTGACACTGATTAGCGGAGGCAGATCAGCTTTGTTGGCCTTCATCCTGTCAATCAGTAGTCGGACGATGGAAGTTTATTGGTGTGGTGTAACCATTTATATATGAGCTATACGCCTACGCCCAAAAGGTGCTGCCGTCGCCGGTAGAGGTGCTCCGTCCGGTAGAGATGCTCCGTTTTTAACCTCAGACGAAAAAGAAAGAAAAGGAAAAAACAAGCAATGCCTCGTAACTTTCTCAACATCCATTATATAAAATTAGAAGAAAATAATTCATTTTAAACAAAATATAGAAATGATATTTGCATGTTACTAAATGATATAACATTCGTAATTGAATCACTTTTGCCTTATTAGAATAACGGGATAACTATTTGAGGACAGTCTTGTTAGTTTTGACAAATTATTTAAAATAAATTGAAGTTGTAACTAAAAAATCAAATAAAGCCACAACCGACACCCATCACCGACTTTTGTTGCTGATCAATAGCGGACCTCATTTGTGCGCGATAGGGTTGCCCATAGAAATCAAATGAGCATTCAGCTGCATCCTAGCTACCTGGGTCGTTAGTTAGTTACTAGGCTAATATAATCAAAACAATACGTTGATGTGAGGAGAGTTTTTCTTAACAAAATGACGCATCAAAACAATACGTTAATGTGATAGGGACTTATATCATCGTTATTAACGGTTAGACGTCAATTCATTTGTAATGTTAATGTTTAGAAAGGAAGAGCCATGGTGCAAACAAATTTGTCACAAAAGTATCAAAGATGGTGAATAATAAGGGTTGTGCTTTCATGATCGCTGAGAATGAGTGAACGACAAATCAAAGCGATTGATCCGTCAGACCCTTATCCCGATAAACTCGTAACCCGATTAACCCGCAATTCGACGAATGCATAACTTGATTAATTTGTAACCCGATAATCTGAATTCGTCTAATCCGCAATCTGATGGACTCGAACTCTGACTAACCCATAAATCAAACTCGGCCGATTGACACCTCTAATTATAACCTTTTATATACAAACCGAATCAAGTGAGTTAGCATAATTCATGGGGATGATAATTTTGTCAATACCTATGAGTATTTTACTACCCAACCCAATTGGATTGGGTATGAAATCCAAATAGATGATAAACGGGTAGAGTTTGATGGGTTTATACTTTATATCCATTTATTTTGGTTGGTTGAGTTGAGTTTTTAATACATGGATTAAGGTTTGCACCCATCTCAAAATGGAACAGTTTGGGTATCTAAATTTAATAGATCTACAGATTTAGTTACTAAAATTACTTTTTTTTTGCTTATAAGTTCTCAAAATATCAATGGAAAATAACATTATGTTTAGTTAATACACTATCAAGTAAATGGGTATTCATACTCATTTAGTTTATGAAAGAAATATCCATACCTTAACCAAAACCACACTTCACCCATACACAACCCATGGTGACTACTTCGGTGCACTCACAAAAATGAGTGTGTTCAATGCACCCAACTCAAAAACTAGTCTTAAGGTGTCGGATTTTGAATTTTAATTTGTAGAATTAGTGTAATATGATGATATAACATATGATAACAACTAATTAGCGGATTACCCTAAGTTCTAGACCTCCAATTTTGAGTTCCATCCCTAAATCCCAAATTATAAACCCTAACCCTAATCCTAAATCTCTAAACTCTAAATCCTTCAAATTAAAGTAAATCTTTAATGGTTTTTGTGCAAATTCTTGTGCGTTATTGTTCATCACATCATAAGTGATGATTAACATCATTTTGACCTAAACCGCATGTTTAAAATAACGGTTATGAAGCAAGTGCACTGAATGCACCCAAAAAAGTGAGTGCACCGAAGACGCCACCCACAACCCATTTATGGATTCATTCATAATTATTCTTCATGCAACCTATTATCTCTCTCTCTCTCTCTCACACTCTCTCTCTCTCTTCTCTCGTTAAGCGTTATTTATCTTTTCGTTTGAGCCGACCAAAAATGAGAGGGCAGAAAGGACATAGGAGAGGTAGTGATGGCAATTTGAACCCGTCACGCGTGTATTACCGGACCGGACCTGCGATGAGACAGGTATTATCCGAACCGCAATAGCGTCGAGCAAGACATGGGTATCTAATTTTGACCCGCCCTACCCCGCTGCGTCCCGTTTTTGTCCTATTTTATCTCAATTTCTTACAGTATCTATTCATATTTCTCATATTTGAATTTTCTTCAATTATTTAGACTCGTCCTTTCAACTATTTAGACTTAATTACCTGTTCTATTATCACTATTTTTCATTCATAAGTGTTTTCCCCTTCATTTTATCGTAAAAAATAACAATTATATGTACTTTTTCCAAATTAACATGTAAGAGTGGATCAATCCGCTAGCTCCAACTCGTACCAGTGCGAGTATTACCCGCTCCGAAACGCAATAGCGTGGGACGGGACACGGGTATTGAGATACCCGTCCCGTCCTGCCCCATTGCCACCTTTAAAGAGAGGTAGCGAGTGGCGGATGAGTGTGAGAGGAGAAGGGCAAAGTTTTTTTTTTTAACGAAGAAGATACAAACCAATTAAAAAAATACATGATTGATGATAATGCATCTCATCCTACACCCTTTATTCTAAGAATTCAGCAGTCCAATGTCAAGAAAAGAAACAACTAAAAAAAATTATCATTGTTTGAAAGGTTATGTTAATTATTATTAGTAACGAGAGTACACAAAGAGTTGTAAATGCAAAGATTAAGAAAAGGGCAAACCACAATAATTATTTGAAATTGAAAGGAGAAAGTACATATTGATAGGATTTGTAGATGTAAACTGCATCAGTAAGTAAGGCTTGATTGTTCATCATCATGTTTGACAGTCAGTGATGAGCTTCTTTTTCTTTCCGTTTCCACGAGCCGAGCGATCTTCTCGTGGATTAGCAACAGTCTCTGCAATTATATGTTTTCTGAGGACCACAGCTACAACAGTATCCTGAGGTGCAGCCAATATTACGACTATGGCATTTTCGATACCCTTGTGGGTGAGCAGTCGCTGCTGCGACCCCTTCGTCTATCGTCTCTGTGAACGCAAACACCAAAGTATAATTAGATCCCAATAATCAAATAAATCTAAATTATCATCACAACAAGAGATGGAGTCTTTTGTGTACTAATATGCCAAAAAAAAAAAAGGAATAATTAGTTGACACATTTACTGAAGATGACCTAAGGGATTGCAGCGATTGAGGAAGGCACGACGACGACCAGCGCAATGAGTAGAACAAGGCTGACACTGATTAGCAGAGGCAGATCAGCTTTGTCGGCCTTCATCCTGAGTGGTGTTTATTGTTGTGCTGTAACCATTTAAATATAGGCTAGGCCCATAGATGCTGCCGTTGCCGGTAGAGGTGCTCCGTCCGGTAGGGATGCTCCATTATATCCTCAGACAAATAGAAGAAGGAAAAAAAAAGTAATTCCTTGTAACTTTCTCACCATTAAATTTATAAAATTAAAAGAAATTAATTCTAAACAAAATATAAAAAAGATTTTGCTAGTTATTAAATGATATAACATTTATAATTGAGTTTCTCTCGTTCACTTGAATTATTAAAACCAATGATATCATAACCGAATCGGAGCATAACCCGGTAACATGAATGCTCACACTTTAATGGTCCAACCGGTATTGAACCGTTAACAAACCGATACCTTAAAAAAATATTATAAGTAGAAGACAAATAAAGTAGTAATTTAAAATTTAATGATTAAATATTAATATTTACTTTTACATGTACCACTTGGTAAATTTACACACTTATATATAACAACTAAAAAAATTCTAGTGCATCCTATGTGCAGTGCCGTTCCCTACCCTCCCCATCCCCCCCCCCCCCCCCCCCCCACCTCTCTCTCTCTCTCTCTGAGCTTTTCTTCGGCAGCTGACTCCTCCGCTTGAAGAACATCACTTTCCCCCTCACCATAGATCAATCTCTTCCCACAAAATCAATCAGCTAATCGTTCCAAATTCCAAATCAAAGTAACATGCTCATCGAATGGACATGTGTGGTAAGGTGGTTAAAAACTGTAGAGAAATTCAACAAGTAGCCAAACGTCACTCTCTCGGTCTCTAGGTTGAGGGAATTCGATTCAAGCCACCAAAGTGATTCTCTCGACCTATCGACTATGGGTTTCCAAGACTTCAACCTCGTATCGGAGTTCGGATGGCCAATTACTACCAACCCTAGGTGCTCATACAAAATAAGAGGCGTGCCCTACATTATACTAGATAGGAGACAATGAATTGCCTAAGAAAACCGAGCTTTACAAGCCTCTTTCAAAGCCAAGGGGGTTTCTCTCTACATAGGTTAGAATGGCAATTAGATTGATAGGTTTTCACACAACACAATCATTCATGAATAATACCTCTACATTCACATTAAACACATCCACACACAAATCATTCAATCCATACAAACATTCACATAATTGTAGCTAGGGTTTAAAACACCAAAGTGAAAGAATGGACTACTCCATGATAGAAGAAGGGAAAATACAAGAGAGAAGAAGGAAAATCATCAATGAGATGCTAGTCTTGCTCCTTGTGTTAAAGAGATCCTTCTTTTGGGGGAGGAATTCCCAAATCTCTGCTTGAAGATGAAACCCTAGTTTCTACTCTTCTTTGGTTTGTCACTTTCTCACTCTAGAAATCTGAAGAAATAGAAATTTCTCACACTAGTTCTCTCTCTCTCTCTCTCTCTCTCTCATTTTTTCCTTTCAGCTCAACCTCCTTTATATACCCAGATCGGGATCAAATCACGATCCCCGTTCACGGCCGTGAACTAAAAGCCCAAACGTGATCTCAAGTCAAAACGCGGCGCATCACTAAGTCAAGTTCCCGGGCAATGGCCTGAGTTCACGATCTTATGACCGTGAACTGACTTGTGTCCTGTGAAAGCGATTTATTATTTAGATGCCTAGCGGTTCACGGGTAGCGCCTCCAGTTCAGAGTCTTAGTGATCGTGAACACACAACCCAAACCGTGATCTGCTGCTGCTTCCACCCTTTGACTTGATTTTT